GGAATGTCGTCTCATTCACCCGGAAAAACCCTCTGGAGAAGGAGAGAGAGGGTGTGTGTCAGACTGGGGAGGTATCAAGCAGGACATGGAGACCCCACATACAGCTCTGCAAGTGCCTGTGGTACGTGTCTCATCCCTGGGAGTGTTCCAGGCCAGGTTGGGTGGAGGTTGAAGCAACTTGGGCTAGTGGAAGGTGTCCCTGCCCATAGAAGAGGATTAGGACTTGATGGTCTTTAATGTCTCTTCCAGCCCAAACCAGGCTATTCCTCTAATTAATAGAGGCAGCCGTGGAACAGGAAGCTTGTCTAATCCCTGGAGGTTCCCCATCCCTGGGGGTGTTCCAGGCCAAGTTGGATGGGTCTTGAAGCAACCTGGGCTAGTGGAAGGTCCCCTGCCCATGGCAGGGGATTTGAAACAAGGTGGTGTTTAAGGTCCTTTCCAACCCAAACCATTCTGGGATTCTATGATCCAATGAAAACACAGCTGCCAAATGGCTGCTGGGCTGAGAGGGAGCAAACTGTGGCACAGCACCCAAGGGTGGTAGCACAAAGTGTATCCAGTACTTCAGGCAGCAGGAAGGTCCAGGGGCTCACAAGTGAACCATTCAGGACGGATCTGGGACAAATCATGCCTTGCTGCCCACAGAGGGCACTCCTGCCTAGACCTCCTGTGGTGCACTGGTCTCCATTGCCATAAGTCAACCCCCTAAAAGTGTTCAGGCACTGGAATATTTCCCAGAGAGGTGGTGGAGTCACCAGCCCTGGAAGAGTTTAAGAGGCATCTGGATCTGGCACTGGAGGATATGGTTTAGGGTTTAGGGGTTACAGCAGTGACAGGTTAATGGTTGGACTTGATGATCTTAGAGGTTTCCTCCAACCCTGATGATTCTACAATCTATGAAAAGAGCCAAATGCCTTTCCTGCTGGGCATCAAGCCAGGTCAGCACCTCCAGCAGGAAAAGGGTTGTCTTCTCTTCCATGGGGGAAAGCTGAGCTCTCCTTCCATCAGCACAGCTCCAGCTGGCTGAGGCTCACACCAACTCACCATGGCATGTGCTGGATGCTGTCCACCAGCCAGGAGCAGTGCCTGGGGGAGCTGTGAGTCCTACCTGAGCCCACCACAGGTGCTGATGCTCACGGCCGAGTCACTGTGTCCCCGCACGTGGCCCTGATAGAAGCAGTGATCCTGTCACCAAAGAGAGGGGAGAGCTGTGAGGGGACCTGCACCAGTTGTCAGCATGATGGGACCCACTGGAGTGGGAAAGCTTCCTTCCCCAGAGCCAGTCCCATACCTGAGTGTCTGGCTTCTCTGTGACCTCTGTGCCGTCAGCCAAGTAGTGTGTCTCGGTGTAGTGCTGCCCCAGCAGTGCCCTGCCGAGTGGGGAAGAGGAGTCAGCAGTGACCTTGCTCTTGAGGACAGGATGGAAAGCTTTGGGGATGAGTTTGGTCATGGTGAGACCATGACCTTCCAGGTGGGTTTGGCAAGGAGGGAAAAAAATGTATTGGGTTGAGGCTTAGATCACTGGTGCGGTGACACCAGAGCTTGGAGAGAGGATGCTCATGGTAACAGTGGGATGCATGTCCCCCAGGCTGCCCCATTGTGCCCATCTGTACTCACCTGTTCTTCTCCAGCCACAGGAGGTATTCTCTGCCTTCAGCATGGATGCTGTAGAGGACATGCTCTGGGTAGATGCTCTGCATGAAAGATAGAATCATAGAATCATTGAATCATCATAGAATCATAGAATTTTAGGGGTTGGAATGGACCTTAGAGATCATCTAACCTCAATCCCCTGCCCTGGGCAGGGAGACCTCCCACCAGACCAGGTTGCTCAAGGCTTTAGCCAACCTGGCTTTGAACACTGCCAGGGTTGGGGCAGAATCATAGAATCATCAAGGTTGGAAGAGACCTCTAAGATCATCAACTCCAACCATTAAACCTGTCACTGCTGGAACCCCTAAAACCTAAACCATATCCTCCAGCACCAGATCCAGACACCTCTTAAACACCTCCAGGGATGGTGACTCCACCACCTCCCTGGGCAATATTCCAGTGCCTCAACACCCTCACAGGGAAAACATTTCTCCTCACATCTCCTCTGACTCTGCCCTGTCTCAGCGCAAGGTCATTCCCTCTAGTCCTCTCCCTGCAGCCATGGCAGGACAGACCATCCCCCACCTCTCTCCAACCCCCTGTTAGGGAGCTGTAGGTGCTATCAGAGACCACCACGAGCAAGAGCTGCAGAAGAGAGGCCTCTTGGCCCCCATCCTGCCCAGTGAGGGGATGGGTTCTGCATACTGAGGGAGGCTGCAGGACAGGGAGCCTGGAGGCATCCAGAAAAGGCACAGGAAGTCAGCAGAGAAGGAAGAAGCCTGTGGGCAATCACACAAATCCCCAGCACATCCTGAGAGCAAGAACAGGTCACCCACGAGGACACAGAGTCAGCAGATCTGGTTTCCCGTGTCTGACACAAGGCTGCAGATGGCTGCACCAGGCTCTGAGCTTTCCTACTCATCACTCACACAGCTCCTTTTTTGGGGGCTGAGTTCAGCACTTACTCACCAGCTGAACCACAAAGATCCAAGAGCTCTCGACTTCCTGACAGCTAACATGCCACATCATGGTTAGGGAACAACCTGCCTTGGGCTCTCTTCAGCCTCTGAGAGCAGATTTGAGTCTCACCATGTGCCAGGTCCTGCAGGCACCACCCTGGTGCTGGTGGAAGGGACCTCAAGGCATCTTGAGTGTGACCTCCTAGCACTATGGCTGGGTCAGGATGGCTGTGGCTCAGCCAGCTGAGCCCTGAACCGTCAGGATGGAGATGTTCCCACAGCAAAACTGTTTCCCTCTGGGATATCTTGTGATCTCCACCTGCAGAGGCTGGGACACACCACCAGAGGCCATTGAGACCACTGAGAGAGAATGATGGTCCCTTGCATAGTGACCCACAGCACCAGGGACCTCCTCAGCCACCTTGAGACCTCTCCTGGGGGCACATCCTCAGTTCTTACAGAATCCAGGTGTGAAGAGCTGAGCCAAAGCCAAAGCAAACCTTTCCCATGGGGCCAGCATTCCTCAGGGATGAGGTGTGCTGCCTCTCCCCGGGGAGGATGACAGCACCTGCTGTCACACCATTGCTCAGCACTCCCAGGGGATTGAGCTGCACCCTGGAAGGAGCTGGGACTGAGCAAAAAGTTCTGCTGACTCAACTCCAGCAGGGCCAGGTGAGAGGGTTTGCCTGTTACTCAGCTGCCCTCGATTCCACCTGGTTTGCACCTCCAAACCAGCTGCAGATGGGCACAGTGCCAATGTGCCAACATGCTCATGGGTCCCTGAAATTCTTCTCTTATGAACAGCGTCTCCAGCCTGATGTGGCTGTCCTGTCCCTTGTCTGCCAACAAAGAGATCCTTTGTTATTGTTGGCAACTCTAGGGCCAGAAGAGGTCTTAAGGAATGGCAGGAAAGAACTTGGAAGGGGGTGGTGGGTCAGGGACTGTCTCTGGGAGATGACCGCAGGGCATGTTTAAAATAAGAAGTCCTGATAAAGCTGCTGTGAATCACCCCCTGCCTCATTAGCATGGGCTCTGCCAGGGCTCCAGATGGGAAGGCTCTTGGAGCACAGGCAGCACAGCTCCGTAGTGGTGCTGAGCCAGCACAGCACAGCCACGGCACACAGAGGAGGGATTTCTTCCAGCTGAGATGCTGCTGTCCCACCCCAGCACAGAGTGTTTCTTTCCTGGGTGGGAAGAGGCAGTAGAGATGGGGCTCACTTTTCCAGGTCCCTTTCCATGAAGAACCCAAGTTTGTCTGCCACACATCCCTCTGTGCCCCTGCTAAGAAGCCCATGGCTGGTGGGAAGGCTGGCAATCAGGAGATCCTGTCCTGCAGGACCCAGGACTCTACCCTGTCTGCCTGGATTGAGTCGAAGCCAGAGTGGACTGGTCTGCTACAACCCTCACCTAGGAGATGCTCTGCTGGACCAATTCCACATGTCCCAACACAGGAATCAGCTCCTGGCCCATGGCTGTTCCAGCCAGAGATGGCTCCAGGAGGAGCTGGCACGGACAACACCCATCTCCATGTCAAAGAGGGTCTTGGTGTTGAACAAGCCTTGCTGAGAAACTCTACTGGGTGAGCAAACCCAGCATTTCTCCAAGAGGAGGAAAAATAGCTTGGAAGGTAGGAGAACCTCAACACAGCAGGTGTTGGAGGTACGAGGCCCACTCAACACAGGTGCCACCCAGCAGAGACTCCATGGCAGTCCCAGAGCACACACTCAGCTCAAGACAGATGTGCCACAGAGGGACCCTGAGATGGGTGAGCTCCCCTTGCTGGGGGGATCAGTGCAGAGCCACCCAGCAGACCCAGCACACCCAGCACAGATGGTGTCTCAAAATAGCCTAGCCTGGGGAATGTTTATCTCATGGCCAAGTTTAGGTTTCTAGAGCAGGGAAAACAGATGCTTTCGGGGAGTGTTTTTGAAGCTAGTTTATCAGGAAGGGTTTGAATCACAGAGGAACGTGCTGTAAGGCACTAGGAAATACATGTCCTCAGCCTCTCCATCCCTTCAGGCACTGAAGTTGGTGCTTTTAGGGTGTAGAAAAATGAAGCATAGAAAAAATTGGCTGAATTTCACTTTAAGGCAATGAGAAAAGCATCTTTGAGGTCAAGACTATCATCCTCTGGACGGCAACACCAAGCACTCCAAACTCCTGACTCAAACCCCATCCCTTCCCCCAAATTGCCAGGTTTCCCAAGAAAAACAGCACTGGCTTCTTTCATGTGGATTTCTGCAACTTTCTGATTCTAATTTCCCTATCCCAAAGGACAAAAAACCCCCTCAACTTCAGCAAACACAGCAAGAAAAGTGCTTACAGCTCCATGAGGCTTCACAAAACCCTCCTTGAGGGAAGACCAGATGTCACAAGATCACTGCAAGGGCTGCAAGAGGTGGCACTGATGGTTCATGACTCCAAAGAAAGCACTGGAGGAAGCAGCCTCCTCTCTCCAAGAGTGCACCCTGCTCTCTGCAAGTCCTAATTGGACTCAAAACAGCCTGGAAAAGCTGATCTGATCAATTGCTTTAACATCTCCATCCTCTGAGGTGGAAGCAAGGCAAGGAATGGGCAGCAGGTTGTTCTTCTGGTGCTGGGTTGAGGAAGTCATGCCCAGTTGTGAGACAAAGGGACAAAGAGGTCCAGCTCTGAGCTCAATGGTGGGACAAGGGGGTCTGGCTCCAAGCCTAGGGGTGGGACAAGAGGGTCTGGCTCCAAACCCAGAGGTGGGATAAGGTGGTTTGGCTCCAAGCCCAATGGTGGGACAAGGGTCCCTCAGCCAGATTCCTTTCAAAGCAGCAGGGGCCAAGCTGATGTCTGGGAGGTGATGCTACTCACCTGAGGTGCAGAGAGGTCCCTCTTTCCCCTGGGCACTGGCATCTCACGTGGCATCACCGTCTCATACTTCTCTACATGGGTGAGCTGCTCCTCCAGCCTGGCAGTGGTGCCTGAGAAAAGCCAAAGGGCTTTGAGCAGAATGCCCAGGGACATTATGGAATATCCTGAGTTGGAAGGGAATCCCACTGTGTGCCTGAGAGCT